CATTCAATAATTGTCCACTAATTATAGTTAATTTATACTCCTCTAACACTGGACAAAAATCCTTTTATAAAAATATTCTAAACAAACTCTCTACCTACCCCCAGGAGCATATTATTATATGCGGGGACGTCAATGAGATAGTAGACCACTCCCTAGATTCCTCCAATCCCCAAAGGAAACACTCTTCTGTGTTATCCTCAATGCTTACTATTGAAAATGTTTATGATATCTGGAGGTGTATGCATGGTAAGAAATGGGATTATACCTTTTTTTTTCAACTACCCAGAGATCTTATTCCAGGCTTGATCTATTTCTTACATCAAAATCCCTTCTACAACAAATCACATCTGCCTCTATTGAGCTCATAACATGGTCCGACCATGCTCCAGTGACTATAACCCTATGCACTGGCCCCACTCCCAAACCCAATACAGTATGGAAAATGCATGCTTCTTTACTAACACACAAACATCAAGACTGGAATAGAATCCTATTTCTCATCTAACTCAGATTTCGTACCCAAACCCCACCATAGTCTGGAATGCTCACAAATCAGTGCTTATAGAACTGTTCCTTAAAATTGGTACCCAAGAGAAAAGAAGACGCTCTGAAATTACTTCCCAGTACTTGGACCCCATAAGAGCACTTGAGCTTAACAACAAGACCTCTCCTACTCTTCAAACTACTAATGAGCCCTGTCAACTCTGCCTTGACCTTAGCTACCACCTCCATAAAAACTTTGAATTCTAAATTAAACGTCCCCGCCTTTCTTGGTATTCCCAAGGGAACAAACCCGGCAGGGTTCTAGCTAATCAATATAAGCACAAAATATCCCAGTCCAAAATTTCATACCTTACAAGCCCCCAGGGTAATAGATGCACCAACCCTCTTGATATCACCAACTGTTTCAGAAATTTTTACTCTAAACTTTATAATATTGCCATATCTGCCACAGAGTCATCCCCATCAGATAACACTATACAGTCTTTTTTTTATCCTCAGCTCAGCTTCCCACCATTACCCCCAACACAATACTCTAACACAGCCGTTCACAGAACAGGAACTTGCACTGGCCATCAAAACCTTCCCCCTACATAAAAGCCCAGGGCCAGATGGGTTTTGTAATAAGTACTATAAGGTATTCTCCGACCTGCTCGTCCCTCACCTATGCGCCTCTTTGAACAGATTCATGACAACTGGTGAAATTCCTAGAGGCCCTAATAGTTACTATCCCAAATTCAGGTAATTATTGACCCACCTCCCTACTCAATATAGACTTGAAACTAAACTTTTAGCATCACGTTTATAAACATACATACCTCAACTAACACACCCTGATCAGGTTGGGTTTATTCCTCACCAGCAAGCCTCTGATGGCACATGGAGATTCATCGACCTCATTCAGTGGGCTGAGTACTATCGAACGCCTTTTCTGTTCATCTCATTGGATAAACCCACAGCTAATGTTTGGGCAGTGGGATACCTATCAGACCCACTCACTACTACAAATGGCACCTGTCAGGGGTGCCCATTGTCCCCTATAATATTTGCCATGATAATAAAACCATTAGCAGCTTTTATTCATGCTAACACATTAATTAATGGTATCGAAGTTTGAGAGGTCTCTCACAAGATTGGCCTTTATGCAGATGACCTTATTGCCTCACTCTCTAAACCCAAACAATCTCTACCCATTCTCCTACAGATACTGAATTACTGTGGGCAGATATCGTTATTCAAACTTAATCACTTCAAGTCATCAACGGTATTCACCTCACCCATTCAGATAGGAATGAAATTTCTCAGACGACGCATTTCTCATGGGCACCCAACAGTTAGTCACACCCTCTTCTGCTCTCTTACGTACCAACTTGGAGCTCCTGATCAGGAAATTACAACAAATAACGTCCACATTAACAATGGCCAAAGCTTCCTGGGAAGGACACATTGCTCTAACAAAAATGTTCCTCCTGCCTCATGCTCTGTATTTTTTCAGAACTCTCCCAGTCCGAATGCTACCTTGTCACCTCAACAAATTTCAGCGCACTCTGAACTCTTTCATTTGGGAACACAAAAGGCCTCGGCTGCACCACTCAATCCTATATCTGGCGACTAAATCAGCAGGAATCGGAACACCAGACCTCAAAGCATACTATATAAAGCTGCTATACTTGATCAAGCAAAATGCTGGTGGAATCCCTTTGCGTATACTGCCTGGAAACAAATTAAATGTACTGTGTTATCAATAGACTTACAGCTACTTTTAAGTGCCTTATAGCTTCACTACCATCCTCCTCACTTTTTCCTAGACACAATTAAGGCTATGATAAGAGTGTGGCATTCCATTCCACAAATAACTAAAGGCATTTCCTCTCAAACCCTTGAATATCTCCAACTTACCGCTCTGGAACTGTTATCACCTAACCTACCCTTACGTCAATGGCCCACAGCAGGTGTCCATAACCTTAACCATTATATACACCTCAGGGACTCACCACTTTTCAATGTCTGTCCACCTTCTTTAATATACCAAATCGGGACTTCTGTCTTTATCTCTGTATCTGGCATGTTCTGTCACCAATCGAGTGGTCCTCCAACCAAATGACCAATGCTCTTCTCAAATTCTACACTTCTCAGAACCCATGTGTGAAAAGACTCTCTCTAAAATATGCACTTCTTACCAGCCCACATACAGTGGCCAAATCTACAGCTATACACTACTGAGACATACACTACACTTCACCACATCTGCAGCATTATGGCACCAGGTCCTTAATACTCCACGCTCCTTCTCCAAAAACATTTCTCATTGGGAAACAGTTATGAAGATCTTCCACCATTGGTGTTACACCCCCACCAAGCTAGCAACTATTTATAACTCTATCTCACCCAAATGCTGGAGGAACTGTGATGCAAATGGATCCACACATTCTGGCAGAAAGTTCCTCCATTGATAAGAAATAGGAAGGATGAGTGACTGATGAGCTAGTTCAGTACCCAGAAGAAGGCAGGGAATCATACTGTACTATCCAAAGATGGGCTACTAGGGCTTTTAGAGACAGACTGACCACCCTTTTCCCCAGTCAGGTGATGAGTCAGAGTTGGCAAGGCCATCTGAACCCTTAACCTTGGCTTTTGACCTTCCATGTACAGTGTAAAAGTGTCTCCAAAAAGGTACTCATGACCTCTGCTGCTGTGGAGATTGAAGGGTCAAGCATTATGTGCTAGCCACTGTAGGCTGTGTTACCTAGGAAGGTGTCCAGGGATCACTGTGCTGTATTGTGGAGGGAGCTTTGGTCACTGATGATCACTGGAAGAAAGAACACCCAGAGACAGAAAAGTGGCATAGAGAAAAAGGGCTCCACATTTAAATGGCCATGACTCTCATACATAACTGGAACACTCCATTCAAAGTGTTTCAGCCTGTACTCTATCAAGACCAATGCATTTGAGCACCAGCACCCTGGGACAGATTTAAAGGGCACAATGGCAAGTGACTCTTCTGGTCATGATACAGGAAATAAGAGCCTATCCTGGCTTCATCATCCAAAGGAATACCACTAAGTCGTCTTTATGGATAGGGCTCCATTGCTGGCAGACCACAGCACTGGACCAGTCTAGCACCCTGCAGCTAACTCGTTAAGTTGTACCACATGCCATGGTGAGCCCCACACAGGATGCAGTACCTGAAGCACCATTACAAGCAGGCCCTACATCTTCATCCAAGCAGGGTACAGGTACGGTCTTTCAAGGCTCAGATGAGGAGTCGACTGATGTGGAAATTGCTGCATGAGCTGCAGTAGCTATGGTATAGCCAGGAATCTTGATAGAAGAATAATCTAAAGAGGTAAGATTCTCTCAGTAGAGAAAGGGTCCATCACCAAGAACACTAGCAAAAATCCGAAGTTAGATAAGAGTTGGAGGGGTTTCTGGCAGGGCGAGGCTACTGTGTGATTAGGCAGTTTAGGCCATCATTTGGAGGAAGCAAGTACATTAATGAGCCAGGTGTGTGCCTCCTTCATATTGGAGCTGGGATCAGAGCTCAGGGCCCCACCCTAAAGGTCAGTGACTGCAAGGGAGCAGTGAGGTGCATGCTGCACCGACCTATCCAGGTCAGGACAGTTTGAGGCACGAGCCTCTGATTATGGAAGACAGTCCATGAGGGACAGAGCAGCTGGGACACTGCATAAAGGACACAGAGCTGAGCTACAGCAGTTGGTGCACGAGCAATGGATGTGTCGGATGGTCAGGAGGACCAACACTGATAAGCTGAGCTGCACAGCTGCATAAAGAGCCACGAGGTTGAATACTGTTTATGTTTGATTGATGGTGAGAACCCCTGTGTGGGAAGCCTTTGTTGTGAACTTTAAATAAAGAAAATGGTTTTAAATAAAAGTGGGCAGAAAAATTCCTGAAATGCACCTCTAGCATACAGTAAATTCACTCTTTGACGGTACCAAAGAGCTATTAACCCCTAAATCCTCACAGGTTATATAGAGGCATGTTCCTGCAGCTTTCTCTTTTTGCTAGTGTCCACTCATATGACCCTTTATTTAACACATACCCTGTGTTCTGTACTGTGCCACTAAAAAATACCCTGATCTTCTGGGTATGGAGAAATAGCTGACTCTCTCTGCATCTTCTCTACATCAATGTGTTTCAGCTCAGTGGCAATCACTGTGCACCAGTGCTCTCACTAATTGTTGGGGAGAGAATTCTAAACCCTGTGTAAACCCCAACTAGTGTAACTGAAAACTTCCACAGGGCTTCCTTTTCTCAGTTCCAGTTAGTGAATGAAGCAGCAGGGGAGCTAATTGAAGGTATTTTCCATTGGAAAGAGTGACATGAACGTAAACCACTTGCATTGCCCTGTGTGGGCAAAACACAGGTTCAAGTCTAAAATTCAGCAACATGCTTACATATCACGTGATCACAATACAATATAGGAACATTCCAAATTAGATGAGACATAATTAAAAGGAAAAATGTTTACAACATACCATCATGAATGAATAGCCAATCCAGAGAGAGGACCACCCTTGAGGACAGGGAGGAATCTGAATGGTTTGGCTGTGAATGGCAATCACCATGGCAGGAGCTTCACAAACAGTGCACCTGTAATAGAAAACCTAGGTAAGTGTGAAACCATACAGAAGATAATCAGCATATTATTAAAATATAACAGACTGCTCACACTTGAAAATATACATGTACTTGTTGCCTTTTTTTCCCACAATGTGCCTCAGCTGTATTTAAAGTCTTGAATAGGAAACTGCAACAACTTTATTTCATTGCCAAATTACACTGACTTTGAGGAACTCCTGGATGCCGAAATACATTTTGCACAACTAGAAATTGTACTTGGTTTATGTTACAAGATCTTTTTTTCTGCACTGTAGCTTGGCTGAACGTGCTTAGTCTCCAGGTCATATGCCTGGCTGGATTGTAATCCAAACAATTCATATGCATCAGTGATTTGCCCATATGCTGACAAAGGTGACTAAAATAAAGCAATAGGCTGGATTTGAATCCAAAGTCAAGGGGTATTTTTCCAATACACAATTCTGGTGCCAAAATGAATCACTGGTAGAATCTTTCCTAGACTGGATGTTGCACTTCTTGGCTAGAATTGTATACATAGATGACTACTCATACGTTTAGGTTTTTAGTAGTCCTAATACATTCACTTCACTATTCTACTATAGTGCTACATAATAATAATATCTTTTCTTACCTCAGTATAGGGGGCAGACCCTCACATATGATGTCATCTCATGACCATCTTACCAAGTGGAAATGTTACTGAGTGTTTATCCCAGCATGGCAGAGTGCTTTATTTTTAAATTGTCATTCTATTTTTAGCAGCATTATAAATGTTAAAATAGAGAGCACTATTGGTTGTCTCTTTATTTTGCGTGGATTTTCTAAGTTTGATTGTTTTGGGGAGCGAAGAAAAGCATCATGCGAATGAGAACATAAGCTCTTAAAAGGAAAGTGCATATGACCTACAGTTAGCTCAGAAGTCATATTCTGGAGGTGAGCAGTTAATCTTAGGTGGAGCTTATTGACACATGGGTGTTATTTTAGGAAGATCATCACTGGACACTTGTTGGTGCTTGGACTTTGGGATACGTAAATCCTTTGTTGGATTGGGTTTACAGACATTCACTTATGTATTTATGTATTAGACTTTATAACTTATTTGGTTGTGCTACACTATTCTTGTTTAGATTTGTGCAGAGGGTTATGTGAAATTACTTTGAGTGTTTAGCTATGCAATCAATATGGTATATTTATTTTATTGTGTTTTTGCGCACATTGATTTATGGTGTTTTATGTAACAGACATGGTTTTCTGTTGGATGCTCTATTCACTGACTACCGTATGTGCTTTTCATATTACAAAAAATATTACTGTGTATGCTTAACCACAGTGTTATCTGTTGAATGGTACATGAGTGCTGTTCTTTTGCTAGCATGTCTTAAGACATAAACAAGAATCACGCAGGAAAAAATTGCATATGACTTTAGGGGAACCCCCTCTCCTCCCAAAAATGGGATTTTTTTCTTACGGTAAAATACCTTTCTCTGAGTTCATTGACATAAACAGCTCACCTACGGTCAAGATTCAAAAAAGTTGTCCGTCATTGAATGTAAGAGAAACTTATATTTCAGTGTTGTGTAGATCTTTACATGATATGTTGGCTTATTATACCTCATATACTTGTGAGATATCTTTATGGATGTTTCTGTCTCTACAATGGTACAGAAGACACTGCAAAGGTGCATCTTAAGGAATATAGTTGAAGTTTAAGTGTATTTGAAATCAAAAACTTTTTCTTTGATTTTGGATAGAGTGGGGAAGGAACAGAACTCCTATTGCATCCCCTTCCCAAAAAGGAAGTAGAAGAAAATCTGTAACAGGGACACATATGGCAGAGATACAATCCTGACAAGCGTTCTAGACTTCCCCTACTCTACTGAATAAAAGCATTTATTCTTTGTTGCTGTTGGGAGAGTTACACTCGCTTCCTGTCTGATAAAATGTTGTCAGAAGAACAGCATGTGAGGCAATATTTCTCTGTGGGAAATGTAGAGTAAAAACTTGACATGAGTCTAATCTTTCCCTACGTTATACAAAACAAAGAAAGAAATGTTTTTGCTGGACATGCACTTTAGTAGTAATTGGCAATCTACAATGTAGTATATGCAGAACATCACTGAAATAGGTGAGAGTCTTGTGGTGTCTTTAACCTGTGATGTAATAATTATTGTTTTCATGGGTGTTGTAATAATTGTGAGCATCTAGTGACTTATTTATGGCTGAATACTCAACATTGTGCACTCCAGCTTCCTCTGGTGGTTGTTGAATATTCGGTCCTGAGCTGTACAATTACAAAGTGCTATAGGGGAGTCACATCTTGCAAGTCTTCAGGGAAACATCTATATTCTCACCTACCCGGCAAAGGGATTATTGCTCCCCTGAAATATTGTGCTTGTACATGTCAGTTGTCAGCTTGCCAGTTAGACAAATCGTTTGAGGTGTGAACCTACACTGCAACCCTAATGGAAGGTTAATTGCCAAAACATGCAGTCTGATTACTTGTCATTATGACTCTTAATGTGAAATCCAGTAGGGAAGCATGGCACTACTGGCTGGCTCAGTGATGGTGGTGATGCATGAACCCAGCACAGAGATCTGTTCACTGAGTTAGGCAGTACAACATTATTCAATCTACATAGGTTGGTACTTGTGAATTCCAGACTTGGACAACCAAAATCACCAATTTTAACATGTTTGCAAACAGCTCAATAGGCAAAGATGAAAAATGTAAAAATCTCACCGGCTTATATATGGCTGAATGTCCCTTCCCCTTAGGGGCTCCATGTTTGCTGTCATTGGCTCTGGAGTGGAGAGCCAATAGGAGTAATCATTTCTTGATGCAAAATTGCACACATTATTGATATTGCAGAACATAAAAGGCATGGTGCTGAAACGTCGCAGGCAGCTTCCAGCAGTACCTAAAGAAATAAAAACAATGATAAGGACACTCTAATATGTCTTACATTGCAATGGGAAAATTACTCCAAAAACTTCTGAAAGTTACATGTAGACTTGTTTTAGAAAAATAACATGTTTTTAGCACCTTGATCTTAGTCATAAGATAAGCTGTACATTTTACGGTTTTTAATTTTGCTTGAATTAGAACATTTTTAGAATGTAAATTAAGTCTCAGGTGCTGATGTTTTCTTTATATTAGTCAGCAATTGACTAAAGAATTACTTCAGCACTTCCTGGGGTCAGTTTGTGCACAAGTCAATGAAAATGGTTTTGTGTCTTCACATGGCTGAATACTATTGCATTGTAGGTGCTCTCTTAGAAGCTGAAACATCTGTATCTTTTGATCATGTATTTATACATTCATTTTATGTTTATTTCTGATGTCTTAGAATATGACAAAAGTGTTCTCAGAAACAGTAGAATTGTAAGATTGTTGAAAATATGCATTTAGATAACATACAGTGCAAATATGGACAAGGAAATCAGTGCATTGGCACAAAAAGTACTATAACACCCACTGTTTATGCATACTAAAGAAATGTATTTGATGGGAGCTGTTTTATAGAAGCACTTACAGCATATTGATTAAATAATTTATAGAGGTCAATATGTCATCCCCATATATCATTAACAAAAAAGCTATGCAGGCACTGGAAGTCAGTCCCATTCCATAGAGGGTAAATGCAGGATGTCCTACCACGCACTCCCTTTCTAAGCTTAGTGTTGAAATACAAGTTGCCTTATATGAAAGCGTTGCTGACAATATACTTTATATATCTGAATTCTAACTGTAGTGAAAGATGTTGTCTATATACATTTGACTTTTTGTCCAATTACCCCAATAAAACACAATTCAGATGGCTTTTTTGCCAGCCTCTCCTCAGCCTAAAATATATCATTCATATCAGTAGGCTTTAACGTTTACACAAAAAAATATTATTTAATGTTAAAAGATATTCTTTTGAAAGTATATAACTTTCATAGACCCCTTCAGTACATTATTTCTTCGATATCTGTTTTCACTCAGTAAACACACATGCCCAGATTACAAACTCTTTGGCATCTTCTATGCTATCCACATTCTTTTATCCACACTGCAGTTCAAAATGCAGTGCAATAGCTAAAATCAACAGGATAATGTTTAGTTGAGTCTTTAACCACTTGTCTACTGGGCACTTATGCCCCCTTCATGCCCAGGTCAATTTTCAGCGCTGTTGCACTTTGAATGACAATTATGTGGCTATGCAACATTGTTCCCATGTGAAATTTTTAGCAATTTCTTCACACAAATAGAGCTTTCTTTTGGTGGTATTTAATAACTACTGTTTTTTTTTTATTTTTTGCGCTAGAAACCCAAAGAGAGCAACAAATTTGAAAAAAAAAAAGTTTTTCTTTGTTTTTGTTTTATATAATTTTGCAAACAGGTAATTTTTCTCCTTCACTGATGTGCACTGATAGGCAGCACTGATGGGCACTGATCAGATGGCATGGATAGGCAGCACTGATGGGCACTGATAGGCTGCACTGATGAGGTGGCATTGATGAGGCGGCACTGGTGGGCATTGATGAGGAGGCACGGTTGATGCTGCACTGATATGCAGCAATGATGGGCACTGATAGGTGGCACTAATGGGCGACACTGATGGGCGGCGCTGACTAATGGCACTGACTGACAGCCTTGATTGGCAGCACTGACTGATGGCACTGATGGGTGGCACTGCTGGGCACTAATGGACAGCACTGCTGGGCGCAACTGCTGGGCAGCACTGATGGGTGGCACTGCTGGGTACTGATAGATGGCACTGCTGGGCACTGGTGGGAGATACTGCTGGGCACTGGTGGGTGGCACTGCAGGGAACTGATCATCATCAGGGCACTGCTCATCAGTGCCCTGATGATCAGTGCCAATCTGCTCTGGGACAGCTGCTGGTTATTGGCAGTACTTTCCTCACACTGTGACAGCGTGAGGAAAGTGCTGCCAATAACCGGCAACTGTATTTACTCTGTGATCTGGTGTCATTGGACACAGCTGATCATGTGGTAAAAGGCCGCTGTGATTGACCTTTTACCTCATCATGTGATCAGCTGGGTCTGTAGGACACAGTGATTATGGAGATTGCCAGGTGCGTGCCCCTGGGGGCGCGCAGGAGGGTGCGTTCTGGGAGGACGTCATATGATTCCCTCCCAGAACTGGGTAACCACGCTTTAGCCGTCATTCTGCTATAGCAGTTACCAAGTGGTTACTTACACACCATAATGTATTTTATGTAAACATATATTTTGAGTTATTAAAACATTCACCTTTATCTTCACATATCTAACTTACTTGCCATATTGAAGTACAGATACAGATTTATAGATACTCCCTTTATGTATACTTGGGTGAAGTAAGGGTGCTCCTTAGCCACTTGTCCACTAAGGTATGTTTATAAATGGCATGGTAGACAAGTGATTAAATCAAGTTCACAGCTGCTGGTATAGCTATGAGCTTGGAACGGGCTTTCAGAGCCGGTGAACGGCTTTCCTGTAAAAGTGATCGGCAGCTCTACAGTCGCCCAATCACTTTAAAGGGCTCTCAAAGACCCCCCCCCCCCTGGTGATAGCAATAAAATAAAAATAAATAAAAAGTGAAAAAAAGAATTACATAAAATAAATAACAATAATAAAAACATTTTTAAAGCACCCTGTCACCCTGTTTTTTCCTGGAACTATGCATTTGATAAATAACTGCACAAATATCATGACACATAAAAAAAATTGCAACTACACTAATTTTATACTCCAGGGTCTGTGCTTTCAGAAAATGTATATTTTTTTTTTGGGGGGGGGGGGGGTTACAGTAATTTCTAGCAAAAAAATGCAGGTTTTAATGTGTGCAAAAAATGAAAAAAAAAACTGCCACAGTAGGCAAGATGTTAAAAGGGACCTAATGTTAGGGAGCTGAAAAACTTTTTGACTTGAGGTTAGCTTTAACAGTAAGTATACCCCAAAAACAAATGCTTCTTTTGTCTATGGGTCCAGCAGAGCACTGTAGAGCTGGATTATTGATCAGTCTTGCTAGGAAATTTGCTTGTCTGGTCACCCTTAAAAATCTATGGCCACCTTAAAGTGTTACTTAAACCCAGGACCCTGCATCTACTATATCTGCTCTCCCACAGTACACAGAACATGGAAGTGCAATTATTTTAGTAAATATAAACTGCTAAATACCTTTTCTCATCAGAAGTTAGAGCAGTCTTGTGACTTCTATCGGTGTCCAGGCCAGCACTAGCTAAAGCTTGTAGGAGGACTTTTCTTTCTGCTCTAGGAGGATGCAAAACCCCGACCTCTGTCTGGACAGTGCTGATTGGCCCTGTGCTGATTACATGCAACCTCCCAAGAAAAAAAAAAACCTCTCTAGCAATACACACCAAACTGAGCATATGCAAATGCCTACGGTTCAGTCTGTCTTATCAGGAGATAAGAGGTGGTCTCTTGAAAATGGAAAGGAACAGAGAAGAAGGGATCAAACGGCCTTTTTACACAATGCAGAGGATTAATCCCTTTGGTTCCACATTGAGTATAAGAAGGATGCCTTACTGCATATACAGACTGATTTTACTGTTGTGGGTTTAGTAACACTTTAAGTTACAAATACTGCTTAGCATTACCTAGCATGTAACACAGCCTCCAAATGTATGGATCGTGATTTATTTAATTTAAAGGCTGCCCCATGTAATATAGTAATACAAACAATCAACAGAAACAAGGTTTTAAAACACTTAAACAAACTGATAATATTACTTACATTATGCTGAACACATTTGTAAAGAAAAAAAAAAACATTAAACATGCTATATTTTCCCTTTTTATAGCTGATGACCACTGTCTGCCAGTGTGTGCAGACATTCTTTATATTTGTTCTCCTTTATGTGTTTAGCATCATGCAGCTTCCTTACCCAGATCTTGACCATGGGCTCTTGCATTTCCTTGCACATAGAGAAGAGAAAATCCATCATAGACTCTGGCAGTTCCCTGAGGACAAGGTGGTGAATCTGTAGATTGGCTATGGCGGGTAATAAGGAATCCATGAGCTACAGATCCTAATCCAGGAGAGCCAGGAGGACCTTGCAATCCATCTGGACCTGGAGGGCCTTGGTTTCCTCTTGATCCTTTTAATATTAAGACATACAAATGTATAACAATTGTGTAAAGTAGAACTCAAGCGAAAACATTTTTCTTTCTTGATGGAGTAAGGTAGGTATATAACCCCTGTCAGTTTTTGCCATCTGTGTCTCATTGGGCTTTTACTTCACTTCCCACAGCTAAGACTGGAAGTGAGAGGAAATCCCTCCAAAAGTAAGGAATTTCAACGGTTGTCACCAGAACTAGTGTCCCCATTGGAAGATGTCCACTGTATTTCTGTTCTGGTGACAACTGAAAATATTGGATTTCCTTGTGCTGTGGGTGGCTATAGCAACCAGCAGTGAGCATTGTATTCTGATGGAAAGGAAACTTCCCGCTGTTAGAATACCATAGCACAGCAGAAGGAATTCCCCCATCAACCTGACTGTGTTGATGGGGGAATTGAGCATAATCTACAGCCAATTTTATAATCTGGTTTCTGTCAACCGTACAGCATACAATTTTACTTGTCTGAATCCTGTACTTTGCCTTTACATATCTTTTGATTAATGAGAAAGTTGTTTTTAGCTTTTGATTGCACAGGCTTATTCAAAATGGGCAAAGCTCCTCCCTTCTCAGTGACTTTGAAATCAATAAACAAAGTTTAACTGAGCAGTTCACTAAATATTAAATTTGCTAGTGTACATTCTAAAATAACAGAGCACAAGACAATATTTATGTTTTCTTTTTTCAATTTATCCAAACCTCTATTATTTTTCACTGTTAAATGTCATTCAATTTTAACATTAGTGCACGCTCATTTCAAAACTCACAAATTTCAAACATTAATTTTAAAAGTATTGAGTTCTACCTTAAAACCATTGTAAAAAAAACATGTCACCTATCTTTTCTTGCTTATCAGTTTATTAAACCTGGTCTGAATGACAGGGGATGGTTATATAATATAAATAATACTTATGCCTATTTGCCAACATTGTATTGCTGGTCCCTCTACTTATCTGTTCATACGTACACTGTCATGAAAAAGCCATGAAATCTGTATGCAGAGAACCATCAGCTAAATATTAGCAATGATTTTGCAGTTTAGGATGGTTAGTGTATATTTACTGTACAATGTAATGCCCAACAATATAAGGAAAAACTTACCAGGCTGCCCCGGTGAACCTCTGTCACCTTTGCGTCCTAACTGCCCTTCGAATCCTGGAAGTCCATCTCTGCCAGGGTCACCTGATGGTCCCAAAGGACCTTGAAAGAGAAAATAATAATAAATGGCATAAAGTTCCATCCAAAGTAATAACTATACCTGTTGATCAGTTGAGTTACAGGAAAGCAGTCATAAAGAAATATGGGGGCTGCCATTGCTTAACTCCTGTTACTTGGCTTAAGTACTTTGTGAGTTACTACCCCAGAACACACATGTAGATTGGGTCAGAAGTCAGAAGTCTTTATATGAATACTTGCTCAGATTCAGCGTCCTAGAAAGTTTTTAAGCCATTAGATCTGCATAACGGCCAAGGAACTAATATTTGCAGAATGGTCAGCATAAGTAGTTTCTGTATATACCTACTGCAGGCGTCCTTCAATTGTAAAAATGTCCCCACCCTAAATTAGAATGAAACAAGTTTGACCCAAAAGATGGATTCAATTTGTATTGGCCACTGTTGCAAGCAGATAAATATACAGGGGATAATCCATACTTAGTTGTATTTATTTCCCAGCACTGTATGCGTAAATGGTCCTTTTATTGGGTATCTAAAAAAGCTCACACTTACAGCCAATTCCATCAGACTGAATTTGGGTAAAGGGAATGCAGAGTTTGCAAAACATTTTGACAAGTACTATAAATTATGATTAAATCAGCAGGGATGCCAAAGTAGTCTTGCCACAGGGATCCTATTTAAGAATAATAATTTAACGACACTGATGTAAAGTGAACATAAAAATACAGTTCTAGGGGAATGTATTAGTTGATATCCCACAAAGCATTACCTGGTGATCCAGGGGTGCCTGGTGGCCCAGGAGGTCCTGTGTTTCCTGGTCGCCCTGGTTGTCCAGGTGGTCCTTGTACTGTCTTAATCTCACCTTTGGGACCAGGTGGTCCTGGAAGACCTGTTAATCATGAAAATAGAACGTATGTATAATTCGGTATTTGATGACTGCTTTGTCCTCTAGAAAAAGGCCATATGAATATAAGGAGATAATGGCCAAAGTATATAATATAGGATTAAAGTTCTCACCTGGAAGACCTGGACTACCTAGATCACCTTTAGCGCCAGCCAGACCAGGAGGACTACTGGGCCCTTTCATACCTGTAAAATACAACAGAGCAGAACATGATTACAGTTACTTTTCATCTCTTTTATCCTAATGTTGTATTAATAGCCACAACAGGAGATGCAATGTACATGTGACTGTGCTGCGGGCTACAGCCTCTTGTGAACTGGGAAGACTTGGAGCAATGTAACTCAGCACCTGTCTTTGTCTGCTTCTAACAGACGACTCGTATAAATAACACATACAGAAGATCTAAAAGGGGATTAAAATATCACATTCCTCCATATAATAAGGCTTATATAGAGTGCTGTTCAAATTAAGCTTAGTGTTTCTCATGTTTGGCCTAGGCCATTGTCTTCTAGGCCAAATATTTCTATCATGATATTTGAACACTAGGCATACTCAGGGATGTTACCGAATCTGCATGCCCATCCAGAGACCCATTAATATTACCTGGGAATCCTGGGACGCCCGGAACTCCCTGATCTCCTTTCATTCCATTTAAACCTGGTCTTCCAGAATCACCCTGTAAATAAGCACATAATTATTAAAATAAATAAACAATTACATTCCTTTCCCTTGGATTAAATTATGAGCACTGACAAGGTAATTGTGGTAGTCTTATTTATTTTAATATGTTAATGGACCAATTCACATTTTCACATTTGTAGCAATGCTTTCATGTTCATCTCAGCTTACCAAATAACACTGCCAGATAGTGACAACTCTAGCTTTTGTATTTAAATATATCTAAAATTGATGTAGGGTTTGCATACATCCAAAACTAAAGTGGATTTGGCATTAAAAGTCAAATACATAATAAGTTAATTCTACAGCTAAGCAAAAGTTGATTCGCAATATAAAGTTACTTTCATAACAGCTGTAGACTATCACCCCCATGTTCTCCAGTTTATCATACTCAACTGCACATAAGAGTCAAGCCACAGGAACATTCCTAGAACAACAGTTAGCTTGTTTGTGTCAATGGGATGTATGTTCACACAAAAGCTTTATAATATTTATACGAAAGTGTATCTAGACAGGCCATAGTTTATTTATTATCTATTACAGGTATTTATATAGTGCCAACAATTTATAAAGCAATTTAAATACTGTACATAGTTAGGTGGGTTTAAAACAATCAAAAGACCATCCACTAAATGATCTAGAGGAATATAATAAACCTCCATAAAACATAAGTGTATTTATATATAATTACGGTAATTCCATCACTAATTTAAAAATTAGCAGTCTATACACACTATAAACCCCATAGTTCCTAGTTCACATCCATCTCAGGAGTGACCAAGAGAAGGTGGCTAAGTTCCAACATACAGTGGGAGCATGGAGAACAAATGTAGCCACCTGCTATCAGGAAATCAGATCACAGCAGCAAAAACAAAGAGATCTGGAGATCTGGAGGAGGTTGAGGACAATAGAAGCTACTTTTTTAAAGTTAAGAATACATACTTGATTCGATTTTTATTTTAAACCAGAGTTTAGTGTCACTTTAAAGTGACAGTAAACAATATCCCTTTTCTCCAAATATAATCAATACACATCCACAATTCAATAACCCCATAGTACATTTTTGATTAAATAATATACTATGTTTTTCTGCCACACTGTAATGTCCTCCATGAGCTCCTGAAGCTGCGGTCATAAGCAGTGGTCTATGCACACTACAAACCCCACAGTCTATAATCCAATAATCCATCTTGGGAGAAGCAAGAGAGAGTGACCTACATTCCTACCTACAATAGGACCATAGTGAATGAATGTAATCACCCTCTAAAAGGAAACTGGATCACAGTATCAAATAAAGAAAATGGAGATTTTGAGAGGGCTGAGACCAAAAGAAGGTGCTTAATAACACGGAAGTAACATGATGTAAAAGATGGAATTAGTTTTTAAACACTTTGGTCCAAAATCTGCTCAATATGGACCCATCAAATGTGCATCATGTCTCCAAAATTATTATAGTCTCTAAAACATACGTTAGTGAGTGATGAAGATAAAACGAGTGGAAGGAACCATGTACCATCAGGTAAAGACCCTAAAGTGTATATACAGTTTGGTCAAAATTTAAATTCACACATTAATTTCCTCATTATATTTTAATTATTTCTAGCCTACTGCTATCAATCTGAATGATCTTGAAGTCTAAAAATGTACTTTTTGAAGAATCCCACACATTTACTTGATGTGCATATAGGACTGTATTTATCTCGTGAACCAGTGTAATTAAACAATTATTAAATGTTGATTCAATTAGGTCAATTGATGTTCGTTAAACCCTTCCTCCTTAAAGCCCAACTCCAGCCAATATTTTTTGTTTGTTTTTGATACCATGGGGTAGGGTTAGAACCTTTCTCTAGTTTTTCTTGTTCTGGGCATCCCCATTAAAGAGATTTCAGCTTAGTTGCTGACCTGGTTTTGTCATCACAATGACAATAGTATTTGAAGCAAAATCTCCCTAGTGGAGTTACAAACAAGAAAAAAAGTCCAACAGCAGTCCTATCCCTTCCTTCTCTACCCAGAACCCCAAAACGTTTGCCTAGATTTGAACTTTTAGGCAGATCTTGCAACAGAAGTAACATTCAGCACAATGTACAGAGTGATCGATATGTCAAAGATACTGTATATAACACAGCGAGAATGGTAGATGGAAAAGGAAAAGAGTAGGTAGGATGAGAAGGTGGTGGCTGGTGGTGCGCCCCTTAAGTAGAGCCCATTTATTTGGATCTATGTATACATGGAACAATAAGTGAAGGATCATTAACCACTACTTTTGGTTAGACATCATTAAGTTTACTTAAAGCAACTGTCTATTTTATGTTTAGCATTTAAAATAATTTTTCTATATGTGTTTCTTTTTGTAAAAGTGCCTGTATCAACTCCTTGTAAACACAAAGGTTAATCTATCCAACAATAAGCATATAGATGGAGGTTCAGAATAAAATCATTGGCACAATATTTCCTACTTGACGAGCACAGAGAAAATAGTAATTGTTAACAGCTTTTTGAGATTTTATTGCCAGGGATGTCCAACACACAAAAATAGCCCATCCTGGTGTCACAAACAGATAATTTATTACACTGGTAGAATATTGGACTATTGATTGGAACAATATTTAATTAAAGTATAATTTTATTTTTCACAGCTGTAAAAATAAAAGGATAAAAAAAGAAGAGCCCACTAAATGATAAAATAACAAACATGGGTTTTGCTACAGTAGTCAGCTACAATCCAAAGATTTCCCCTGCAGTACTTTTATTCTACTGTTAGATGTCCTCAGTCTAATGGTCTGCATCATTCAACCCACTTCTTCTGAGCCCAGGTCATCTTGGGCTTGCTACAGTCTGTGACATGACTTAATGATTACAGAGCTCTAATAATTTGTGTCTTTTTTGGTCTGGTGTTAAGCTTTAAAAACTAATGTATCCTAAACTAATTAATAGATGATACAAAATATGAATGGGATGACTATATTGGTAGAAGTTTCAAGATAAACTGCATGGGAGGCTGTATTATATAAATGTATATAACTTATTTTATTTGTATTTAAACACATTTAATACAGGTTCCTTCCAAGACATTTTGCATATGTCAAATCCATGATCCACATGACTCATTTTGAGCTAGCAGTGGAAAAGAGTATGACTCCCAGTATCGGGACAAGTTCATCTTACATCCAGGGTAAGGATGCAGAACTGCACCCTCTCCCCAACTGTTAATGCATGCCGTAGAATAGGTTTACTGCCCCATGTCCATTCTCTGCCCCCTTGCTTCACTGTGCCCAAGGCAGCTGACCCCCTTGTCCTCTCCCTGATGATTCCCCCAACTAATTTATATGCCTGTGTGATGTGAACAGAGTGGAACAGCAGGAGAACAATTTACACCATTCTTTTCAAAGCACATCAGTAAAATAACTTGTAGAAGTGGAAAAGAAAAGCTTTAAATGCACCACCTGCTGGCTGCAAATAGAAAATATGAAATATTCATATACGATACTGCATATTTTCCCAGGTAAAGGAATATTTTTAGTCATGAACATAATAGGAAATACTAAAAATATATACAAAAACACTACAGAACATCATTCTGTTGCAGTAATAGCTTTGCATTCAGATCTTGTACATGTGTACAGCAAAAGAATAAAGAGGCTTACCGGAACACCTGCTATTCCTGGTTCCCCTTTAGGTCCGGGAAATCCAGGCTGTCCAGGTATACCAGGATTTCCTTTGTCCCCTTTGAAGCTTGTACTGCCAGGGGGGCCACGGGTCCTTCTGGGCCAGGTGTACCTTTGTAGCATTAAGAATAAAAAGTTAGACTCACACAAGAGGGAATTTAATGTGAAGAAATGAGCAGATACTGTATCTGCTTGTATATCTTTTTACATGCTACCTGATCATATTTCACTTCACTACTACTAGCATAAAATGTGACTGTGTGACTGCCCTCATACTATTTTTTCAGATATGGATATGGTCTATGGCTGGAATGCATTACCATTGTCCAGTGGTTTGTTTTACATTGAATGTTAAATAATTTCAGTTTAGGGGTTATACATAATTCAATACATACAGTATATACCAGATTACCATATGAAGTGGGTCAGATTAAAATGTTCTGACAGATTGGATTACATATGACATAAGTCTGAATGAGATACCATTATAATACAATGAAAATGTTACAGGTGTGTGTGCTCACGTGTATTACTGTATTTCAGTGCTGTAGCAAATGTTCAGATAAGGCATGGCACTGCTGACATCATCTTAAAGTAGAAGTCAAGGCAAATGTTTTTCTCAGCTCTAATCAGTGTGTCAACCTTTCACGTAAGTAGCACTTTTTTTAATATATCATGCACTAAGCCTCAAGCTTGACCTGGGTAATTACGTCTATGCTTGTAGTGCTGGCACCAGGATAAAATTGTGGTGATTCTGGCTCTATCTGTTCCACTGAAGGCAAAAGCATTCAGTGACATCCCTACCCTTCACCTTTCAACCCAACTCACAGAGTGCCTTAACGTGTCATAAATGTTCCGTAAAGAAAACTGCTTCCCTTTGTTATGTGACCACATTATATTTTATCAGCTAGACCCTCTGCAGCCACCTTTGCTCCTAAGCTACATCTTTTGAAATAGAAAACAGACCCGCAGAATCATGTGTCCTGCTTTTATTAGAATTTATAAAATTTATTTTTGTAAGATATTTTTTATACACGTACTGAACTTTGCCTTTAGTCTGGTGCATTGACTTCTGCTTTAAGTATTCTGCATTAGGGTATAGTATATTGTATGGATTGAATCCTGAACAGCTTTGAACAATGTAGCTATTGTAATATAAGTCAGTCTGACCCAGAGACAATTTGTTGCTATTTGTCACTGTTCATTTTATCTCTAGAAACGGTAGTTTTTTTTTTTCTCTCATTGTTGTTCATGTTTTACAAACACACAAAACATGTGTTGCTGCATTACACTATATTTTCTAATAGGAAAATTTTTTTTAAATGCACAGATTTGAAATTCGTATTATCTGTCCAAAGTCATGCAGCCAATTTGAATCTCCAATATGAGTTACCTGAAATGCTGTATTTTGTATCTGTTTAATGATTGCAGTAACTACCAGATCTAAATTATTTTGATGCGAATATTTAGTTCTTTATCAATAGTTTTATTAATTCGTTCTGCTTCAACATTGCATTCTTCATTTCTATGTCTCTTTATTGGAACATGGACATTAGAGCGTTTGTATTTTACCAAAACCATTTCATCAAAAAGATACTGTTGAGGTTACTAAGAAAAAAGATAAATTATTTTCCACAAATTTGGTTAATAATGAGTTATTTAAAGGGGTTCTTTATCTTTAGCAGATAGAGAAAAAAAACATCCCCAGAGATCTCCACTCTTGCCCTTTTCCCAATCAGCTATTCTTTGTTTGAATTCCCAAATGCAACATTTTTCTCAGGTAATTTATCACATTTTCATGCATAAATATGTTTAAGTTCAAGCAAGAAGACTACCACTCATCAGCAGAACTTATTACAGTCTTATGGTAAAACATAAAAAAATGAAGCTTTGCATTCATCCTGCTAATCTAAAAAACCAGTTCACTTCACAGAAGAGACCATGGGAAGCCAAACTCTTATTCTCCACACTCCCAAGACTATGTGGGGAACGTCTGGGTGAGTCTAACCTTACACAGGAATCTCAGGAAGTCTGGTAATGGATATGAGTGGCATGGAGGTGTAGGCAAGTTAAGTACACTGCTCAAAAAAATTAAAGGAACACTTTGAAAACACATCAGATCTCAATGGGGAAAAATATCATGCTGGATATCTATACTGATATGGACTGGGTAATGTGTTAAGAATGTAAGGCTGCCTCACCATTTGATGAAAATGAAAATGATCAACCTACAGAGGACTGAATTCAAAGACACCCCAAAAATGAAAGTGAAAACTTGATGCAGCACGCTAGTCCATTTTGCTGAAATTTCATTGCAGCAACTCAAAATGGTACTCAGTAGTTTGTATGGTCCTCACGTGCTCATATGCATGCCTGACAAAGTTGGGGCATGCTCCTATTGAGACAATGAATGGTGTCCTGGGGTGATTCCTCCCAGATCAAAGACCAGGGCATTACTGAGCTTCTGGATAGGCTGAGGTGCAACCTGGTAGCATCGGATGGACCGAAACATGATATCCCAGATGTGTTCTATTGGTATTAGGTGAGACAAGGGTGGGAGCCATTCATTGGTATCAATTCCTTCATCCTTCAGGAATTGCCTGCATACTTGCGAGCCACATGAGGCCAGGAATTGTTGTGCACCAGAAGGAACGCAGGACCCACTGCACCAGCGTAGGGTCTGACAATGGGTCAAAAGATTTCATCCCGCTACCTAATGGCAGTCATGATGCCATTGTCTAGCCTGTAGAGGTCTGTGCATCCCTCCATGGATATGCCTCCCCAGACCATCACTGACCTACCACCAAAACGATCATGCTGAACGATGTTAAAGGGAGCATAACATTCTCCACGGCTTCTCCAGACCCTTTCACATCGGTCACATGTGCTCAGGGTGAACCTGATCTCATCTGTGAAAAGCACAGGGCACCAGAGGCTAAATCTGGTGTTCAATGGCAAATTCCAGTCGAGCTCTATGGTGCCGGCAGTGAGCACAGGGCCCACTAGAGGACGTCGGCCCTCAGACTACCCTCATGAAGTCTATTTCTGTTTGTTTGGTCAGAGACATTCACACCAGTGGCTTGCTGGAGGTCATTTTGTAGGGCTCTGGCAGTGCTCATCCTGTTCCTCCTTACACAAAGAAGCAGATACCAGTCCTGCTGATGGGTTAAGGTCCTTCTATGGCCCTGTCCACAGAGTAACTGCCTGTCTCCTGGAATATCCTCCATGCTCTTGAGACTGTGCTGGGAGACACAGCAAACCTTCTGGCAATTGCACGTGTTGATGTGCCATCCTGGAGGAGTTGGACTGCCTGTGCAACCTCTGTAGGGTTCAGGTATCACCTCATGCTACCAATAGTGACACTGACCCTAGCCAAATGCAAAACTAGTGAAAAACATCAAAAGATGAGTAGGGAATAAAATTTCAGTGGCTTCCACCTGTAAAACCATTCCTGTTTTGGGGGGGGGGGGGTCTGAAACTGATTAACAACCCCCTCTGCTACTTAACCGCTTGCCGCCCTGCCACTGTGTATATACGTGTGCAGGGGTGGCAGTGGAGCGCAAAACCACGTTTAAAAACGGGTTCCGCACTCCCGACACTTTCGCCGGCAGGGGGCGCGCGCGCGCGCTCCCGCCGACCCGCGGGTGACACTATTTGATCCAGGAGGGATCAATCATTAGATTTCAGCCAGTGATTTCTGGCTGAAATCACATGATCGGTCCCTGTCCTATCCTGTCCTGTGTTGACATACACAGGGCAGGATATGATGTCATTCTTCTCTGCCTGGACACATTCCGTTCCAGACAGAGAAGAGGACATCCAAAAAGTGAGTACACAAGCACTACACTACAGTTAGAACACTCTAGGACACATTTAACCCCCTGATCGCCCCCCCCCTTCCAGTTAACCCTTCACTGCCCTGTCACCAGTGTTACTGATCAGTGAAGCGATTTTTACTGATCAGTGTCGCTGGCGACTTCCGATAGAGTTAGCGCCCCTCCCAGATAGCGCCAGATTGCCCGCCAGTACACCAGTAATCCCGTTTAACCCCTTGATCGCCCCCCCCCCCTCCAGTTAACCCCTTCACTGCCCTGTCACCCAGTGTCACTGATCAGTGAACCAATTTTTACTGATCACTGTATCAGTGTCGCTGGCGACTTCCGATAGAGTTAGCGCCCCTCCCAGATAGCGCCAGTTTGCCCGCCAGTACACCAGTAATCCCGTTTAACCCCTTGATTGCCCCCCCCCCCTCCAGTTAACCCCTTCACTGCCCTGTCACCCAGTGTCACTGATCAGTGAACCAATTTTTACAGATCACTGTATCAGTGTCGCTGGCGACTTCCGATAAAGTTAGCGCCCCTCCCAGATAGCGCCAGATTGCCCGCCAGTACACCAGTAATCCCGTTTTACCCCTTGATCGCCCCCCCCCCCCTCCAGTTAAACCCTTCACTGCCTGTCACCCAGTGTCACTGATCAGTGAACCAATTTTTACTGATCACTGTATCAGTGTCGCTGGCGACTTCCGATAGAGTTAGCGCCCCTCCCAGATAGCGCCAGTTTGCCCGCCAGTACACCAGTAATCCCGTTTAACCCCTTGATTGCCCCCCCCCCCTCCAGTTAACCCCTTCACTGCCCTGTCACCCAGTGTCACTGATCAGTGAACCAATTTTTACTGATCACTGTATCAGTGTCGCTGGCGACTTCCGATAGAGTTAGCGCCCCTCCCAGATAGCGCCAGATTGCCCGCCAGTACACCAGTAATCCCGTTTAACCCCTTGATCGCCCCCCCCCCCCAGTTAAACCCTTCACTGCCCTGTCACTCAGTGTCACTGATCAGTGAACCAATTTTTACTGATCACTGTATCAGTGTCGCTGGCGACTTCCAATAGAGTTAGCGCCCCCTCCCAGATAGCGCCAGTTTGCCCGCCAGTACACCAGTAATCCCGTTTAACCCCTTGATCGCCCCCCCCCCCCCCAGTTAACCCCTGCACTGCCCTGTCACCAGTGTCACTGATCAGTGAACCAATTTTTACTGATCACTGTATCAGTGTCGCTGGCGACTTCCGATAGAGTTAGCGCCCCTCCCAGATAGCGCCAGATTGCCCGCCAGTA